CCACATAAGCAGAAAAATCCAGAAGTGGTGCTATGGCTCAAGCGGTAGAGTGCTAGCCTTGAGTTGAAGAGCTGAGGGACGGCACCCAGACCCAGTGTTCAGTCCCCATGACTGACAAAAAAAAGAAAGAAAGAAAGAAAGAAAGAGAAAAAAGAAGAGGATAACAACTCCATTTATCTTTCAACACAGGTTATTCTTTGCAGCAGTAATATAAAGCAAATGCTATTCTTACCTCTCTAAATGTAAACCCAATTCCAAATTGACTTTTCAGATCTTAATTGTAAGTTACTTTTTCTTGGAAACAATGCTGAAATTATCAGAGATCACAAAATAAAATTTGTTGTCATATTTTTAGACTGAAGTATGTCTATTTTAAATCAAATCTCAAACAAGAGGAAAAATAGATACATAAGAAGATAGGCAAGGGATGGGAAGGGGAAACAAAGGAGGAGGCTACAATGCTTGATAAGAAATGTACTCATTATCTTGCCATGTAATTGTAACCCCTCTGTACAGTATTTTCACAATAAAAAATTATATTAAGTGAAAAAAGAAGATAGGCAATATTAAATTGCTAAATATTTTGTTTTTCTATTCTACAGCTATGTCATATCTGCACCCAAAGTACTGCGTGTTGGTGCATCTGAAAATGTCGTGATTCAAGTCTATGGGTACATGGAGGCATTTGAGGCAGTAATTTCTATAAAAAGTTATCCTGATAAAACATTTACTTATGCTTCAGGTTCTGTTACCTTATCCCCAGAAAATAAATTCCAAAACTCTGCCATCCTAACAGTATGTATTTATCTTTCATTTTCTTTACATTTGTAGGGTATGTCTGTAACTATTTTTGTAAATGTGTGCATATTTCTGTACATATGTACAGAGACTCTAGGGGTTCATTCAGACCTGTGTTTCTCCAAAGTGATTTCTTGATTTAAAAAATTATCAATTGAAATTTCATAGAGAGCTTAAGATTAGAATACTTGTTTTTTGTATTCTTTTGAATTTGTTTTATAAGTCTATTTTTATTTTTAAAATATCTAAATATCATAAGCATAAGTTTATATCTAATTTTAGGTTTGCACATAGTTGAGACAAAGTATAATATATTTTAAAAAGTTGTGAACCCTGAGAAATTTCTGTAACATTTGAATTCTTTTAAGAAGGCGGTATAATGCTGGGTGCTAGTGACTTATGCCTGTAATCCTAGCTACTCAAGAAGCTGAGATTTGAGGTTTTCGATTGGAAGCCAGCCCATGCAGGAAAGTGTGAGACTCTTATCTCCAATTAACCATTAAAACTGCTGGAAGTGGAGCTCTGGCTCAAGTGGTAGGTAGAGTGCTAGCTTTGAGCAAAAAAGCTCAGGGACACCTCCCAGTCCCCAGAGTGAAAGCCTCAGGGTTGGCACCAAAAATAAATAAACAGATAATGAGGTGTATACATTACTTGTGTTTGAGAAACATTGATTTAAATAAATTCTAACCAAAATCCTTCTCTCAATAGGCTTTAAAAAAATAGTACTGGGCTTTGAGCTCAGGACCACTCACTTGCCAACGGCTCTACCACTTGAGCCACTCCACCAATACTTTTTCTGTTAGTTAATTTGTAAGATTGGCTCTGACTTATGCCTGGGCCATCCTGTACTGTGATTCTCCTATCTGTGCTTTCTCATATCATTGAGATGACAGGCCCATGCCATTATGACTAGCCACTGTGTCTCCCCTACAGTTCATATAACAAGTACATGCCACCCTATGTCTGGACATTGGTCAAGATGGAGGTCCACAAACCGATTTTTGCCCAGGCTGGCCATTAACTGCTATCCTTCAATCTTTGCCTCCCAAGTAGCTTTTGATAGTAAAATGTTCTCATCTCTTAACAAATACGCTCATCTGGGTTTATTAAACGTTAAAATTCATTTTCCCAAAGTGTTATTTGCAGTAAATAAATCTTACCTAGTAATGTGCAGGTAATCATGAGTCCCCCTTGTGGACATTGACCTTTAAATTTAGATCAAACAAGCAAAACTGAAACCCAACATTGACTTCCTCATTCTCAGGTTAGCCCCAAGTGCTCAGGTAACCAGGTGACCTGTGGCTGCCATATTGGACAGCACAGTCCTAGAACATTTCCATTGACACAGAAAGTTCCAGATGGTTAATTGAAAAAGCCAACAGAGTGGGAAGATCACAAATGTTGATACATGTCTTAAGCATTTAATTTCATCTTATTATAAAGTATTGTCTCAGTTGTTTGATGCTGAGCCATTGTTTCCTCTTTGAGTACATTGACTGTGGTGTATGTATTATAGCTTTAACAACTTGTTGCTGGTCTGAACTTGGTCTTTTGGATACTTGCAAACCAACCTGAGCACAGAAAATCTAAAGATCTTTTCCAAATATCTCTAATACTAATCACATACCTTGTGACTTGATGATAATGACTCTCAGCTTGTGTTTCCTTGAGCTTAAATTTTCATAGTAACCCTTGTTTTGCTTTTATTGCCTATGCTAATGTATGAAATTCACTTGCTACAGAATGTAAATAGGGTTAAATTGCAATTTACATGCACAAGTTTGAGCGTATACCTCTACTCTGGGGGAGCAGAAGGGTGTGATTTAATACAAAATTTAATACCTCCGGCCAGAGGTTGCTTGTATATGGAGAATGGAGAAGGCAGATTAACTGGCTGTCTGAGTGAAGGCAAGGTTTCTTATGAGTTTTTGGCAGTGGTTTAATTAAGCAGATGAAAATATTAGGAAACAAAAAGGTTTTCAATTGCTTAAAGCTGAAGTTTGATTATGATTTTAGACACTGAAGGAATTTGGGTGGTCTCTGAACCACTCTTTATTTGTTTGGGTTGGTTGGTGTTCTTTTTTAAAATTTTTTCTTTTTTCTTTCCTTATTATTATAAAGGTGAGATATAGAGGGATTACAGTTACATAAGTCAGGTCTGAGTATATTTCTTTTTGGATAATGTCAGCTTTTCTGTTTTTTTTTTCTCCTGTTTTTGATTTTGTTTTTGGTTTTTGAAACAGGATCTCACTGTGTAATCGGCACTACCCTAGAATTTGGAGTACTATCGTCTCAGCTCCCAGAGTGACTTTTTAAATGATCTCTCTCTCTCTCTCTCTCTCTCTCTCTCTCTCTCTCTCTCTCTCTCCCACACACACACACACACACACAGACACACAGATACACACAGACACACACACACACTTTTGTTCCAATGAGAGCCAGATCCTTCATTTCTTTTCTTACTGTGGGAGGCAGATGTCTCATTAATGTTATTGTCAAGGGAGGGCAGAGGAGAGAGTCAAGAATTTGTTGGAAACAAAAACAGGATTTGTTGAAAACTTTACCTAGCAGATACTCGCTACGTGTTGGTGTGGTTTTTAGGAAATCAACATGTTTTATAACCTCAGAATTATATTCCTTTTCCACCAACATTCTCTTTACAGATACAACCCAAACAACTGTCTAGAGAACAAATCTCAGATTCACATGTGTACCTGGAAGTGATATCGAAGCATTTTTCAAAATCAAAGAAAATGCCAATAACCCATGACAATGGGTTTCTCTTCATTCAAACAGACAAACCCGTATACACTCCCCATCAGTCAGGTAGAGTATAAGGTATTTCTTTCTTTGTGGGAAAATCAACACTATATTTATTGTAGGACTTTTTAACGACTAAAATTGAATGTGAACATATTTCCATCGTGCTTTTAAAACAGATGAAATTCTTTAATGACTTCTATACTTTCAAATATGAGTTTGATTTCTAAATAAGCTGCAAAATCAACTATTACTAATCTATCCTATTAGTTATTTCCAAGGAAAAAAAGAGCTTTTTGAACATATATTAGGACTTAAGCAAGGTATTAAACAAGTAGCAGCTAGAATTAAGATTACAGCTTTGCCCTTTCTACCCCTAGAATTCCACATAGACTGTTGACCTCTAGTCCCTTAAAATCTACCCATGGCTGATTTTTTTTCCCCACCCACATATATTTCACTGCCAAGCATACAGAAGGCAGTCGACAATTTTTGAAAAACAAGTCATGTCTTGTTCTAAAACTTTTATTGATCTTGCTCTGACACATCAGTACTGTGAAAACAAGATTCATGTTCTGACCTAATCACAAACTGGACATGTAGTAGTCATTGAAATAATAATTTTATTTTAGTTTTTGCTTATTTATTATGTACTGGGCTACGCAAAGCTACTATCTTTGTTTGTTTGTTTGTTTGTTTTTAATAGCTCACAGGGCTTGAACTCAGAGCCTGGGTGCTGTCGCTGAGCTCTTATGTTCAAGGCTAGCATTCTACCACTGTGAGACACAGCACCACTTCCAGTTTTCTGGTAGTTAATTGGAGAAAAGAGTCTTACAGACTTTCCTGCCCTGGCTGGCTTTGAATCACAATCCTCAGATCTCAGCCTAGTGATTAGCTATGATTACAGGTATGAACCACCAGGCCCGGCTCTGCTATCTTCTCAGGATAACACTAGAAGGAGAGAAAATGTTGTTTCTCATTCATGACTGAACTAAAGTTTAAGGGAATTACTTGTCTGCCTCAAGGTCACCATTGGATGTAGAAGACCACAGTGAAACTAAGCTTTGGAACTCCAGGGTTTTACTTTTGCTGTATACGGTCTCTGAAATTATCCACTGGCTCTCAGGCCTGGACTGGGTGTATGTGTAGATAGATGGGAGGGAGGATTTGATTGAGGTGGGTGACACAGGAGGGGAGGGAGAGAGCTGAATGTGGAGATTTACAGAGCGCGTTGTTGTGTTATCTTGTGCTTTCCTGGGGCATCTTGTAGAGCTTTGCATGATGCTGATCCTCTAAAAGGGATTGGGCTTTCTGTGTTCCTTGTTTTATTATTTGTTCTGGCCATGAAATCACTGAGCATCAACAAAACCCTAAAGGAATGACAAAGTCTTTGGAAGGAATTCAATCAAAGGGCCATGAATTGAAAACTAAACAGAGTCTTGCTTCGGCAGCACGTATACTAAAAATTGGAACTATACAGCGAAGATTAGCATGGCACCTGTGCAAGGATGAGAAACAGATTCGTGAAGCTTTCCATCTTGTATCTGCTTGGGGGAGAGCTAGGGGGAGTGAAGAAATAGAGGGACAAAGGCTGAACAAATGCAGTAGTGGTACTCACTAGACACTATGTGGAAAATGAACTATAGACCTTGTGGTAGGAATGGGAGGGAAAAACTGCGAGAGCTAGGGAAGGGGTGACACTGTCTAAAAAGAAATTTACTCTTTACCTGACTTGTGTAATTGTAACGCTTCTGTACATCACCTTTATAAATGCAATAAACAAATAAGTAAATAAATAAATAAATAAGGCAACTAAACAGAGCCTTTTGCTGAATGAATAGAAGTCTATTGGCAGAAAGAAATGGAAGGAAATGAACCATTGGCTCCTGCCATAGTCCTTCTAATAATGGGAGAACAATTGTAACATGTGGCTCAATAGCTAAAACTATACAATTTGAATTTGCCTTTTGCACTAAGGTTAGGAGCCTTATTGGTTTATTTAAGTTTGAGTGTATGTATCATGGCTAAATCAGGGTCCCAGTTTCATTACAATCTTCAGCCCTAATATACAACAGTATTCTTTTTTTTTTTACTTCTTTTTTTCTTTTAATAGTAAATGAGACTTAATAAATAGATTTCATGCTAAAAAAAAAAGTCTGAAGCACATACACACAGCTACAGTGAAATCAGTTTTATCTGATAATGAATGTTCCAGTAGGATTTAAAGTTCAGTGATAATTTAGAATTATGTTTTTACTGTATAAGAAGATTTTGATTTCCCTTCCCCTACCTGCCTGTGGGGCTTAATGAACAAATCTGTGATGAAATGTATACAGAAACTTCCTAACACAAAGCCTCTTAGAAACAATAGATTGAACCCAGGACCTTGCTCATGCTAGGTGAGTGCTCTACCTCTAAACAGCCCACAAGTGTGTCTTTAAAAAAGTGTATAGTAAACTGGGTGCTGGTGATTCATACCTGTAATCTAGCTACTCAGGAGGCTGAGTATCTACATTAAGGTATGATCAAGGTTCAAAGCCTGCCTAGGCAGAAAAGCCCATGACACTCATCTCCAATAAACTAGCAAAAAAGCTGGAAGTGGATACAACAGTATTCTTATGCTCTCCTAGAAACACCTGGTTCCCTTTTTTGCTACTACTGAAGTCATGATACTTAAGGAACTAATTTTTAACTGATTTCATACTATGGATTGTTCCCAAAATGTTATATGTAAGCTTATTTAGTAAAGTGAGCTCCACTTTACATTCACTCACAAAAGCTGATCTTTTTTTTTTTAAATCTCTGAGGATTCTTTATAAAATGAAAGAATTTTATGTCTTAACTATCATTTTATTTTAAATATACTTTTTTGTGTATGTGTTGCCTGTCGGGTTTTTTTGGGGGTGGGGTGGGGGGTGGCGTCTGGTCGTGGGGCCTGAACTCTGGGCCTGGGCACTGTCCCTCAGCTCTTCAGCTCAAGGCTAGCACTCTACCACTTGTGCCACAGTGCCTCTTCTAGCTTTTCTTTTTTTCTGCTTATGTGATGCTGAGGAATCCGACCCAGGGCCTCAAGCATGCAAGGCAAGTGCTCTACTACTGAGCCACCTTCCCAGCCCACCTATCGGGTTTTTTAAATGAGATTTATCTATGTCATAATTGTCAAAAAGTTTATCAGAATACTACTGGTTGAGCATAGTTTTTAATTCTATCAAATTATTTTTTACAGTTAAGGTTAGAGTTTACTCACTGAATGATGATTTGAAGCCAGCCAAAAGAGAAACTGTGCTAACTTTCATCGTAAGTATTCTTTCATTTATTTAAATGATATTTTAACTCTTTTTTTTTTAAGACAATGGTTCTCATTTCATAAGTCTGTCCTCACAGCTCACTTGAACCATTCAGTGACCCAAAATGAGTTATTAGCATCTACTCTGGGTATATTACAGATGCATATCTATATAATACACATATATAAATTGTTCATGTAAAATTAAGCTCAACATGTTGAAGGATTTTGAACAAAATCATTTAAGTTCTTCCTTAGCTGTTTCTTTTTTTTTTTTAATTGTAAAGATACTATACAGAGGGTTACAGTTACATGAGTGAGGTAATGAGTACACTTCCTCTTGAACATTGTTACCCCCTCCATTGTTTTCCCCCTACCATCCCCTCCCTCCCTACCTTCCCTGAGGTTCTTTTTTTTTTTTTTTTGATTGTGATTAAGTGATTACATAATTTCCAGAATTTCACAGTATTGTGGAATAATGATGCTCATTTAAAGTCACAAGTTCATTCTAACTTTCCTGGAGCAAATTGTCTATCACAGTCTGTAACATATAACGGTGTTCACATGTTATATACCATATATGTGATCAGCAGCATGGGGATATTTAGTAGTGGTTCAACCAGATGAGTGGGAGTTCTTTGTTTCTTAAGTCCTGTTAGTTTTGTCGTATCACCTAACATTTTGGATTTAGCATCCACTTATCAGGGAGACCATGTACCGTTTGTCTCTTCGTTCTTGGCTTACCTCGCTCAACATGATTCCTTCTAGCTCCATCCATTTCCCTGCAAATGCCATTATTTTTTCATTTCTAATGGCTGCATAATATTCCATTGTGTATAGATACCACAATTTTTGGATCCATTCATCTGTGGTGGGGCATCTGGGTCTTTAGCTGTTTCTTTTGTTAAAGCAGTGCCATCAAGAATTAATGCAAAGGCTGGGAAAGTGGCTCAGTGGTAGAGTGCTTGCCTCGCATGCATGAGGCCCTGGGTTTGATTCCTCAGCACCACAGAAGCAGAAAAAGCCAGAAGTGGTGTTGTGGCTCAAGTGGTAGAGCACTAGTCTTGAGCTGAAGAGCTGAGGGACAGCACGCAGGCCCAGAGTTTAGGCCCCACGGCCCACCAAAAAAAAAAAAAGAATTAATGGAACATAAGTAGAAGCTTTTTTATTAGAATATTTTAAAAAAGGATGTATTTCATAGTATTCTTTTTTGTTGGAATATATTAGATGTGTGAAAGAGTTTCAGTTATGATATTGAAACTCATACTCCATTATTCTTTCTTATTTCTTCATCTTCTTTTAAAATAATTTTAAGAAGTTTGTTATTCTAGGATGTTTGTGTTTTATTCAAAGGATCCTGAGGGATCAAAAGTTGACGTGGTTGAAGAAAATGATTATACTGGAATTATCTCTTTTCCTGACTTCAAGATTCCTCCCAATCCCAAGTATGTAAAAACACTTGTTAATATAAGTTGTCTGTAAACAGCCTATGTGGAACTTGAATGTTGAAGTAAAATATACAGTCCTATGGCACCACCTAGCGTTGACAAAATATACCACAAGGGTGATATGCCTTTGATTTCTTTAAAAATTTTTTCCTTCTTAAAAAAATTATCTTTAAGTAGTTGTACAAAGGAGTTGCCATTTAACAAAGAGTTTTGTTAATGCAATATGTCTTGATCAGTGTCCCCCCTTTCAACATTCTCACCCATCCCTCCCCTACCCACCCCTTCTCTCACTCTTTTTAATTGTGTAGGATATACGTGTAATTCTTCACACATTCCTTCCACACACCTCCTTCCCGCTTCCCTTCATTTGTCTACTGCTTTCCCCGTCTACTGAGAAATAAGATTCCCTTCACCATCTAACCCCTCTTACCCCTGCCCAGCAAACAACAACAACAAAAAACATCCAAGAGCCCAGCACCACTTGCCTGTACTCCCAGACTCTGGAGGCAGAAGCAAGAGGAGCTCAATAGTTCAGAGGCAGCTTGGGCAACATAGTAAGACCCCCAATGCTTTGCTCATTATGTCTACAAATAGAAAGAAAAATTGGGAAGAGAAAAAAATAGTCCTTGGGCTTTTTTCTTCTTTTTCATCCAAATTGTCATCTCTTGTCTCTGAAAGGCTCAAATAGTCTAGCTATTTAAGCTTATTAAAAAAAAAAAACACAGCCCTGGGCTGGGAAGGTAGCTCAGTGGTAGAGCGCTTGCCTTGCATGCCTGATGCCCTGGATTCGATTCCTTAGCACCACATAAGCAAAAAGAAAAAAGCTGGAAGTGGCGCTGTGGCTCAAGTGGTAGAGCGCTAGCCTTGAGCAGAAGAGCTAATGGACAGCGCCCAGGCCCAGAGTTCAGGCCCCATGACTGGACCCAAAACAAACAAACAAAACAACAACAAAAAAAAAAAAACAGCCCTGTGGGTTTTGTCTATATAGACTACCACAGAGGAAGGTATGTCTTATGGTCATCTTTTCTGCGCCTAATACAGGATAGCTTGTAGTGAATCCATTGTATTAAAATTCTCTGAGAATTTTCTATTGAAATTGTGAGAGTTAAGTCATTTGGATCATTTTTACATTGTATACTTTTGTGGAAATACTCCGTGCTTTATAGAGCAGAACTGAACTTGTTATTTTATTGCTATTATCATTTCTCTCTAGCCTTATTTTGTGCCCCTTGCCCCAGGATGGAGGATTACATATCAGCCATGGAAGTCATTCACGATCAGTGCTTTCCCACCTCAGCACCTTTGCACATGCTGTTTTCTCATAAAGCTAGCTTCTTCTCACCTTTAGGGAAAGGTTGACTTTGCAAAGACAATCACTGGATGCGTTCTCTCTCTCTCTCTCTCTCTCTCTCTCTCTCTCTCTCTGCCTTTCTCTCTATCTCTGTCTCTTTCTCTCTCTTTATATTTTCTTCGTAACATTTATCTTAATCTATAACTATTTATTTGTTTGTTTTTATTCCCCTCTTGATTTTAAACTCCTTAAGGGCAAAATCCTTTTTTTCTTCTATTTCTTACTATATGTTAGTACTTCAGTACAATACGTATTTGGTAAACATTAGCTGAATTGCTATTATAATGATAGCCATAACATGAATATTTATGGCTATATAACCAATTTACAAAATTGTTTCTCAATTTGCAATTTATATTAATTTCCCCACCTTAAAACCTAGTAGAAAAGAGAAAAGTGAGGATTTGAACTCACGTGGACAATTAACTCTATGAACACCATAACTCTTGTGTTATTTT